ACCTATAATCCTAGCTACTCAGGAGGCTGCAATCTGAGGATGGAGGTCCAAAGCCAGCCTGGGCAGGAAAGTCCATGAGACTCTTATCTCCAATTAACCACAAAAAGCTGGAAGTGGAGCTGTGGTTCAAGTGGTAGAGCACTAGCCTTGAGTATAAAAGCTTAGGGACAGCACCCAGACCCAGAGTTTAAGTCTCAGGACTGGCAAAAAAAATTTTAAAAGAAAAAGAAAAAAAGAAAGAAGGAAAAGAAATTATACAATTGGTTGCAACCAAGGGAATGGTGTAGAACCGGATGTTGGGAGACAGGAATGGTAATGAAATTTTTCTTGTTACCTTTACTCATTTAAAAATTTAAATAACGCGGCATAGCACCCTAGTATCAACAAACTATTTCTACTACTGCTGATATTATGATGACAAATAAAAGAAATAAAAAATTAATATGAATGTATTTAAATAAAAATAAATGACACTAAAATGAACATAAGTCATATACTTGATTTAGATTCTAGTATAGTGAAGCAGTAAGAAGGAAAGATTTCAGAGAGATCTTATTTTTTATATAAATTTGGAAAAGATCACTATGCAATTCTGCAGATAAATTAATCTGGGGTTCTACTGGAGCATAATTTGGGGATAACAGCCCTTAAGGAAGGAAAATGTGGTCAAAATTTTATTTGGGAATCCCTTAGCGAATTTCAAAGTGATTTGGGAACATTCTCTCTGATGCACCCTTTGAAACCATTAAAGGAATCTAGGGCTGTGGCTCAGTTGTAGAGTACTTGCCTAGCAAGAACTAGGCACTGGATTTGATCTCCTGCACTGTAAAACATCACAAAACATTAAATAACCATGATTTTCATATCATGGGTATTATTTCATCAATCATTTCCCCTAGCAAATTAGGCATCATGAGTAAAACAAAATCACACAATCAGCAAGAAAACAAATATAATTTTAGGGACTTAAGTCATGTGAGTTCAAACCAAAGACTGCTAGTGCTGAAGTTTTGGCCTCTGAGATGTTATTTACCAAAGAGTTTCATCATGGGAAAGAGCAGGAATTAATTCTATGGCATGGGAGTAGACACGGATCCCACTTCTGGGGCATACACAAATTAGTTCTTACATTTAGTTTTCTGGAAGATGGCTTTTAGTGAACAAGTCTCTGTCCAGGGCCCAGATACACTATCTATTCAAAGTGGAGAATGAAAAGTAATTGTTTGATGAAACTATTATAAAATGTCATTTTTTTTTCCATCTCTGTGTGTATGCACATGAACACAGGTGTCAATATTGGAGCTTGAACTCAGGGCCTAGGTGCTGTCTCTTAGCTTTTTGTTCAGGCTGGTGTTCAATCTCCCACCTCCAATTTTTTGGTGATTAAGAGTCTCAAGGACTTTTCTGTCCAGGCTGGCTTTGAACAGCAACCCTCAGATCTCAGCCCCCTGAGTAGCTAGGATGATAGGTGTGAGCCACTAGCATCTGGCTTCTTTCTTATTTTTATAAATAGTACTGCCTCTGGCTTAGAGACTTTTTTTTTTTAACAGATCAAGGATAGAACCTAGGGCCCTGTGCATGCTCAGTAAGTGCTCTTTACTAGTAAACTATATTCTGGACACTCCCATTACCCATTTTTAATAATATTCAGACTAGATAATTGTGTTTAAGCTTCATGTGCAATGCAATGTAAGGAGCTTATTAGAGAGACTGGTAGCTGATTTTTACCATAGGTTGTGTCTGGGGAGAGGTGTGGGAATCTGCATTTTAAACAACCACCCCAGTGAATTCCAATGCACTGGATACAATAACTCTATTTTCAGAAACTGGCCTTGAAAGCTAAATATTAAATTGCCCTATAATGAATATTTATTCTGTGCATACCTATCTATCCTTGGGGCAGGGGAGGCAGTTAAATAACTGAGTTCCTACTTTCTTAGTGTTTACAAACTACCAGAGGGGAAAAGGCACAGTGCCATCTCAGATAGTATGTGATGACAGGTCCTGTGAGTGTTGTAGATAATGGATGCAATAAGAATACAAAGAAAGGAAGCACCACTATTGACCACACTATCTCAAAAAGCTTCATAGAAAAAAGTTGAAGCTGGGTACCAGGTGGCTCACGCCTGTAATACTAGCTACTCAGGAAGCTGAGATCTGAGGATCATGTTCAAAACTGGCCTGAGAAGACAAATCTGAGAGATTATTTCTCTCCATTTAACCAGCAGAAAGCCAGAACAGGAACTATTACTCGGGAGGTAGAGTGCGGACCTTGAGCAAAAGCTAAGCAAGAGTGCAAGATCCTGAGTTCAAGCCCTACTACCAGCACAAAATGGGGAATGTCTTTGGTTTTGAAGAAAAGATCGATTTCCATAGCTGGGGGAGGGAAGAAGTGAATTATTTCCAAAATGGAACTCCAGAGTAAATGCCAAAAAAAAAAAATACTGTTAATTTAGGGATCATGATATGTAATAGCAATACTGTGCCCAAACTGGAAAAAAAATACATATTGTGAGATTTTATATCTGGAAAGATAGTTAAGACTGAAAAGAGCCTTGAACTTGGAATCTTCTAGATGGTTCTTTGGGCAGAAAAGTTAAGAGTGGTATTTTGAAAGACCCTTCTGGCAGTGAGTTTGAAAGAGCCATGAACTATGTTTGGGGATTGGTTGTGACAACTGAATGGAAGGTTTGGGTTTGAAGGTTTGTGAAGGTAGATTCAACTCTACCTGGAGCTTGATGGGAATGAGAAAAAGAAAGGTGTCCTAGATGCTAAGTAGCTGAGGTTTCAAATCATTGATTGGGAAGATTGTGTATCATTTTACCACCCAGTGAATCTGAATAAGGACATGCTTTTGAGTATAAGTCTGGAATTCAACTTTGTGCCCAAGTCTTTCATCTTCTATGCATACACATGAGGTCACTTCGCTTAGATATTTGGCAGTTATTTTCATTCTGTTGAAAGGAGGTTGGCTTGCAGGAGAGTACTGTAGATTTGGGCCACCATTCAGAGAAACAAAAGACAGATTATTATTTGAGTATGAAAAAGTTCTGAAGAAAAACGGAACTAAGATTAGCCGTCCTTGTTCTCCCCCCACCTTTGGTCGTGGGGCCTGAACTCTGGGCCTCAGCGCTGTCCCCCAGCTGTCCCCTAGCTCCGCTAGTGTTCTGCCACTTTGAGCCACAGCGCCACTTCCAGCTTTCTAGTGGTTAATTGAAGATAAGAGTCTGCCAGGGCTAGCCTTGAACCGCAATCTTCAGATCTCAACCTCCTGAGTAGCTCGGATTACAGCCACCAGTACCTGGCTTATTCTTAAATTTATAGTTTCCCAAGGATCTGTGGGATCTCCAAGGAAGAGATCCCAGGAGAAGACCTTAAATCCTCAAGCGACTAATCAGCGGATTTGTACTAGCGCTGGAGTTGCTGAATGCACTTGAGGTTGAAAATTACTGGGCTAAAATGGGAAAAAGAAAACTCTTTTTGGATTCGCAGAACTCTTTGAAGTAGATGCTAGATTTGCCTAAGTCCTACGCAAGAGCAGCTCATCCGCAAGAGAGCTGCTCTGCCAAAACCACCCTAGCTACAAATTCATTCTCCAACCACCAATTATGTGGTTTAGAGCCAGCTAGGTTTTTAAGACCCTCCCAGAAGGCCAGCGCGCTGCATCGATTGGACGAGCTCACTTCCTCGCCCACCCGGGAACTCCTTCGCCTGTCAACCTTGTCAATCACAGTTCCTCTGCCCACTCGACCTTTGCTCCTCCTCTTTCCAGTGACGCAAGACTTTGACGTGCTTTCGCGCCCCTGGCCCCCACCCGTCGCTTCATTTCCTCATTAGCAGAAGAGGAAAAGAAAGGGACGCTCTATTTTGGTCACCGAACTAGCCCTCTACTTTTCCACTCTTCTCACAGACCGTCAGGAAGGTATTTATAGCCTGAAGCCACGCGCAGGCGTGCAAAACGGGCTCGCCGGCGGAGGGGCGCTTGCCCTCGTCCCGAAAGATTTCACTGTACTCTTGTGACGCAGATGGCACCCCCGGCTCGCCACTTTCACTTCTGATTGGCCGTGGCCGAGGTCCGTCATAGAGCCACGCCCCCTCCTCTGCCTTTCCCCCCCCACCCCCTAGCCCCAGATACTTGATTGACTACCTAGGAGGCCCCGCCTCACTCCGTTTCTGCCGCTTCGCCCTGCGATTGGTTAAGAGAACTGGCATGCTTTCCCGCCCCTCCGGAGTCTCGAGAGGCTGGCGGGACCCCGCGGAAGTTGTCAGTCAAACTCCTCCCCCCCACCTCCCCGCGAGGCCCGTCCCCTGGGCCGCGCGCCTTTGCGCGCGCGCACACGCACACACATTTCACCCCCCCCCCCTCCCCTCCCGAACCAACCACCTTCCCAAGTAGTAGCGGTCGCTCGCCGGGGGTTCTCCGTGGGCGGCCGCCGGGCGCCTGGGGGAAGAGGTTCGGACCGCGCCGCGCAGCCCGGGGCGAGTGCGTGCGCGCCGGGCGGGTGGTCCCGCGATGAGGAGCGCGCGCTGACAGGACAGAGAGGGCACGGCGGTGGTGGCTCCGAAGGACCCGCGATGGCAGCGCCCCGGGAGAAGGCTTCAGGCAGGGCGGACGGCGCTGGCAGCAGCCGCTGAGGTGCGGGCCGGGCCGGCGGCTGACGGGGACTGAGGGGACGGCAGGCGCGCTCGGCGTCCGCGCCCCTGCCCCCTGGCCGCCTCGGTGCGTCCCAACTTCGGGCTCCCTTCCACCCGCCCTGCGCGCCCGGAGTCAACAACTTCTTCACCCCCTCCGCCCCCGCCCATCCCTCCGCCTGCCCCGGGAGAGCGCCGCGCGGCGGGGACCCGGCGGCTCCGGCGTGGAGATGCGGCCGTGAGGCGTTGTCGGGCGGCGAGGAGAAGCTCGGTGGCTCCGGGGAGCGGGAGGACGGTGCGGCCGGGGTTGCGGGCTCCGGTGGCCGCCGCTCCGCCTCCTCCTCCCGCCGTCGCCGCCGCCGCCGCCGCGGTCCGGGCCGCCGTGCAAGCCGCAGCCGGAGCTGCCAAGCGCCAGCGCCGCGGAGATGTCGTCGTCGTCGTCGTTGCCGCCGCCGGCGGTGGGGGCCGCCAGCGCCGCCGCCATCTCGGCTTCGGAGAAAGTGGACGGCTTCACCCGGAAATCGGTGCGCAAGGCGCAGAGACAGAAGCGCTCGCAGGGCTCCTCGCAGTTCCGCAGCCAGGGCAGCCAGGCGGAGCTGCACCCCTTACCCCAGCTCAAAGGTAAGCTCCCCCCGCCGGGTGGGGGCCTGCCGAGCCGCTTCCTGCGGGGCTCGGGGGTTCCTGCTCCGTTGGGGATCGCGGCGGTGTGAACCGCGCTCCCCCACGGTACCCTGATCCCCCCCCATACACACCTCAGTTCTGATACCTTGGGGTGCGCAGAGGTTTGCTCTTGCCTTCTCCCCCGCTCATCAGAACTCTGGGCGTCCGCGTGGCCACCACCCCTGCCCACCTGCGCGCTGGCCGGGACCCGCGTTCCCGCGGACACCCTGGCGTCCCCGGAGGCGGAGGTTCCCTTCTACGCCCGTCTCTCGTCTTTTAAGATCTGTCTGACCTTCCCACCCCACTTTACCGGGTCTCTGCTACTCGTTTTGACCACTCCTTGCTCGTGCTTTACTTTTCCCATTATCAAGCTGGTCTTCTCTGAACTCGGCTTCCCGTCGATCGTTCCTAAGTTAGCGGATCAGGAATCCTCCTGCGAACAGTGGTCAAAAGTTAGCTGACCTTTAGATGTTATCTGTAAGGAAAATGCCTAGAGATCGAACCGGTTTTCGTACCTTATTTTCCCTGGATCTTTACGTTCTAACGATAGTCTGCAAAATTCTCGTTCAGAAAGGATACACACTATCAATTTGGAGAGGTATAAGGGAATAGATGGGTAGTAATTGCTTTGCAGTGAAGTGGGAATTTAGTTCCCAGGGTAGTGATTACCAGGGACTTTGTAAGGTTTGTACAGTAATTCAAATTGGTATCCATGCCTAATGCTTAGCAGGAGTGCTTGGCACTCCTTTTGGCTCTTTCTTACTTTTCCCACTAGGTCTAGAAGCTTTTCAGTAAGTTGGTTCTTGCTTATTTGAGAATTAATGGCTTTTCATCTTAACAATTTTCAGTCTTTGCTTTTTATGACATAGAAGTCACTATGATTATGTTCCTAGACATTAAAATTACTTGCCACAAAAGAAACCTGATAGAAATCTACATCTATTTTACAAGGCCAGGAAAAGAAAAGTTCCTATTAAAATAGATAAATGTTCAGCAGATTTTTCAGTTCATTTGAAAAGGATCCAGCATCCCCTTCAAGGCTAATCTGGTTCTGATTTGCCTTTGGGCCTATGAATTCAGCCCTTTTTTTTTTTTGGCTAGGAGTCTAAAGAAAACCCCCGGATCAAATCACACTTGACCTACAATAGGTTTGGAACCCTATTCAGATCCTACACTGCCCTGCCTGTGGAGTGCTTCTAAATCAAGGACATCTTAGAGCCAGAATCAAATTGGTTTTTAAGAAGAGGTTTGAAGATATGTTTAGTTTCTGCTGGTGCCTTTATTATTTGATTTCTTCTTAGCATGCTAAAATTGTTAAAATTTACCTAGCCTTTGGGAGGGCCTGTGCCTCACACTTTCAAGTCCCCCATAATTGCTTTTTCACTAGAGAGATAATCTCTGCCTATAGTAATGTATTTTGAAAACACTTATTTTACACAGCAAGTTTTTACCCATTTAAGCTAACCTTTTTCAATAAAGCACTATTGTTTAGATATTAAAAAAAAGTTTACCTAGCCTAGTCCAGGACATTGCTAAGACTTCAGTAAGGTAATAGCTAATGAAAATATTATCTTAGCTATTAGGATATTAAATTGCTATTCGTAGATTTACATTTTTTCCTTCAATGGAAACATGATTATTTTTATTGCTTTTGATTTTTTTCATGAATTTGTCAACTAGTTTTTTTTCATTTGAAAGTTTAGTAATAGCATTTTTTCATATGTAATTTGGTTTTTTAGTAATACATTCTGATTTCTAGTATTGTTCATTTTCACTTTTGTTTAGTAAAGTATGTGAATATCAAATATGTGATTAATCTCAAGCAGGTGATACAACCTTAAAACATTTTAAAAGCCTGACCAAAAAAATTTGCATGGAATCAGTAACCATCTAAGTATATGGTGTTTGGTTCAACAAGTTGACGGTGACTTAAATGTTTTTGTTTATAGTATTTGCTCATTAGTAAAGAGAAAATAATAAAATTAGAACTTTTGATTGATTTTTAGATATGTACATCAAAGCAAAGAATGCTACACAAGGAATTATTCAAGATACATTTATTTGTTTTTTTTGTTTTTTTTGTTTTTTTTTGTCGGTCGTGGGCCTTGAACTCTGGGCCTGAGTGCTGTCCCTGAGCTCTTCAGCTCAAGGCTAGCACTCTACCACTGGAGGTACAGCTTCACTTCCTCAAGATACATTTATACAGACTTAAAGCCCTTTCTTGGAATTACCTACTAATGGGAGAAACTACTTTTACGCCAAGTGCCAAAATCCTTGACAAGTGATCTTTTGAAAAATTCATTTGCTTTGTTTGCTAGTTGGCAGTGTTTTTGTTTGTTTGTTTTCTTGTCTGTTTTTTTGTGGTACAGGGTTTTGAATTCAGGGCCTTGCATTTGCTAAGCAGGTACTCTTGCCATTTAGCTATACTTCTAGCCCTGGTTTTTCCTTTATTTCATATTAGGTTTCTCTTTCTGCGTTGGCACAGGTGAACCACCTATGTTAGGTTTCCCACTAACAGAATAACAGGCACCAAGTCCAGCTTTTTGTAGAGGAGGGGTCTCACATTCAAGGTCAGCATTGACCTTGAACCTCCACCCCAACTATCAGCCTCCCAAGGTACCCAAAGATGACAGGTGGGAGCCACAGGCACTACTGGACTTGGCAGTGTTCTTGGTACCACAATGTTGTATATTTTTTCTGTCAGTAGTAGTTTTTTCCATTTGTGGCTTTAACAAAAAACAGTGGAAAGCCTTTTAGTATGTGTATAGAAGAATTTTTCTTCCTGCTCAGCAATATAATCTTACTGTGGATGATTCTGATATACATGGGCATCCGAGATCTTTCAAGTGTTTATACCAAGCCTGCTTAAGTTACACTTTGTCTACATGGGTTGTAACTGGAAAGGTGCCAAAAACTTTTCCTTAAAGTATACTATGAGTAAGGATTAACAAAATAATCTGACTTTTTCATCTATAGGAAGTTTCTTTTTGCAAAATTGTTTCATTACAAAAGTTTGATGGTGAAAATGTTCAAAATAAATTAAGGAAAGTATTTAATAAATAAGCCTTTAAAAAGATGAGAGAGCTGGGTGCCAGTGGCTCATGCCTGTAATCCTAGCTGCTCATGAAGCTGAGTTCTCAGGATCATGGTTCAAAGCTAGCCCAAGAAGGAAAGCCCACGAGACTCTTTATTGGAGAATAAACCACCAGAAGGCTGGAAGTGGTGCTGTGGCTCAAGTGGTAGAGTGCTAACCTTGAGCTGAAGAGCTGAGGGACAGTGCCCGGGGCCCAGAGATCAAGGCCCACAGCCCCCCCCCCCCCCCAAAAAAAAAGAAGATGAGAGAAAAACTGTTATGTGGGTTCCAAAAATTAAACTGCTTTATATTGTAAAGTGTAAATATTTATCAACACTATCCTTTGTTACGTTAATTATGCACACCCCTTTGAGAGCTAGATGCTAGAAAATAAAATGGGAAATATTTAGCATTTTTATTGGAATTTTACATTAGCATGGGACTAATTTTTCACTGTAAACTTTTCATTTGGAAACTACTACTTTGGAAACTTAAAACGTAACTATTCATAGTAGGCAGAGTTGTTTTTTTTTTTACTCTAACCTATTTTTTAAATTTGTTTTCAGACGAATTTGTTTGGTAAAGTAGCCTGCTGTCTTACACTTACATAATAATTTAGCATTTTAAAATTATTTTACTTTTTCCTTATCTTTAATTTTCAAACAGTATTGCTCATAACCAGTGCAACCTTTAGTCCTTTGTTGCCTGCTTTTTCACAGTCTCTGGCTCAGTATAGTTATACAAATATATTTTATTGGGTCATCCTATTTCATTTTATTGACGAGAAAATTGAGGCATAAACAGATTTAGTTTCAGTCTGTGACAATATCTGGATGGTGTCGAAACTGATATTGGGACTCAGTTCTGAAGATTTCAGTATTTTTGTTAATTTGTTTTACGTAAATTTGAAAGCAATGTGGTAGAAAAAAATGGGTTACTGAGGTTATCCTTAGGTCAAAGGTAAATTGAAGGCTTTTGGAGTCATTTTCCTTATCTGTGAAATGGGGATAATACCTTCTATCCCTGGGATTGAGAGGATTAGGTGAAATAATTTAAGTGCCTAAAAATAGGCAAAGAATGTTAGTTCCTATTCTCTTTGATATTTGAAAAATACAGATTAAAAGGATTATTAATAGGATTACTTAAGTAGTAAATTTTTTTAAGTAGATGATTTAAGTGAAGTGAGGTAGAGCTGTAGCATTCTTTTTCATGCATAAATGAAATGAAAATAGGGTAGAGTTAAGACTTTAAGATACTAAAAGCTGTAGTAAGAATACTTTTCTCTTTTTTAAATCAAAGTAATAGAACAAATCAAAATTGTATAGACATACATTTGTTCCAGGGTATAGCCAGGAGGCAACAAAGAACAATATGAAACTGGTTTTGAGATTGAAGGCCCCTTGGGATATATCATTCAGATTCTTCATTGGTCTACTCTTGGAAACTGGGTTCCATGCAAAGTACTGAGGCCTGAACAATGTTGCTAATTGAAGTGCCTTGCTTAGTTAAAGCTATCTTCCTAAAGGGAAAAAATTATTGATCGTCTTCTTGAGGTAGGTGGTCTTCTAAGTTGATGTGGAACAAGAACATTGACATGATATGAAGTTTCACAACTATCTTGTGATAGGGGCACAGTACTACTATAATTTAATACTCAGGATTTAATAGGTGAGTTGAAATTAATCTGAATACATAAAGAGATATGTTTTCAAAGGGATATGACATTTTAGTTATTTCAGGACTGTTTTCTTATAGGACTGTTAAATCCCTTCTTGGAGACTTAATTTTTTTCCTACTTTTTTAGGATATACTTTTCTTTAGAGAAATTGCTAAATATAGTGTTTAGTGTTTGTGCTCACATCAAGAAAAAGCTTTTCTATATAAGTTG